AGGCCGGTTCGCTCATAGCGGCGATGAAGGGTGCCCAGCAGTCGCCCTTACGTTTCGCCAAAGTCAATTGCTTGTCCAGCTTCGTTCCGCGCAAAGGGAACTGAGCCAACGCCATGCGATAATCGTGCTTTTGGAGACAGGCCTGCCAGGTGTTTAACTGGGGGTTCACGGCAAGGGACGTGCTCAAACCTATTTCGTCCCAGCCTAGGCATCCCTGCTTCAGGGTCAGAGTTTCCCGACAGGCACAAAAGTCTATCAGAAATTGTCTCAAAGGCAGGGCATTGTCCCGGCCTTGGACTTGGGCCAACTTAACTTCCGACAGCTTCCCAACCATGGCAGGGAAACGGTCCCTTGTATCCACGACTAGAGTCAAGTAACGCGCTAAAAACAGACCAGATTCACCTGCTCCGGAGCCAAAGTAGGTGCTTAGGCTAAGCGCCTACCTCCGTGGAAGAGCAAAGCACTCTAAACCCACGGTCGATGAACTCGAGCCCCAAAAGTCGCGCCGAACAGCAGGACGTCGAAACCCGCCAACCCTTCCAGTTGCCGCATGGTAGGTGTCCTTGAACGGCGGTCGTCAGCCGGCAGGGCCACCCGACCTGGCAAGAGCGGCAAAGAATAGCAGCACCAGAATAGCAAACAGAAATTGCGTAACAACGCTTTATGGTCTACCGGGTATGTTGGGCTGAGGGAGCTGAGGAGAGGGCTCGAAGACTTGGGTCCTGAGGATCCTGGTAGAAATCGGGGCGGTTTGCCCAGCCGGCAGAGGATTTATGGAAAACAAAACCCTAAATCCCCAGCCTAAACCCTAAACCCTAACCCCGAAACCCGAACCCTTAAACCCTGGTTGTTGCGAGGCTCATAGAGTGCAGCAAGTTCGGGATTATTTTTGGTTCAGAAATGAGACGATGAGTACGGGCCTTTTTGGTTCAGGGTTTTGGGCTCCGACGGTGCATCCCCCTCCCCCCTCCGGGCGGACTTCCAGCACGAACTTCGCAGTAAGAGTGTCGTGTACACCCAGTCGGACTGCGGCAGCTCAGCATAGGTCAATCCGAAGATACCACCCAATCCAGCACGATACGAAAAGCCGGGATTGGCAAGAGCATGACTCCTGGGCTGTTGAGGGTTTAGGGGTTAGGGACAAGCCCAACGCGAAAAGTATGTGCTCTTCTTGGGTGACCCTCGGGTAGTAGGATGTAGCAGGATCCCATATACCACAACCAAAAAAAGGTAGCACTAATCAATCTAGACAAGCTCATAAGGCAGGTCCCTATCAATGCCACGCCGGCAGGCAGCCTCATCTTCATAGCGCTCCTGCTGGGCCCGACAAATCCTACCCAGAACCCTAAACCCTAAATCCTACATAAGCCCATGTCCTGATGCAGGCCGCTTCTTCGTCTGCTGCGCCTGGCCCTGCGCAGCCTTGGCCTGGTCGATTGGGCACGTGCCGCCCTTGCGGCCACCAGATTTAGTACAAGTAAAGATTCTTCGTATGGCTCCGCAAGTGGCAGCCGGCATTCCGGCACGTGACCAAGTCTCCCTGCACCCAAGGGTCATGCTGGCCGCCATGCTTTCCATCGACGGCAGAAGTTCGATCCGTACACTGGTGTTTGAGGGGCGTGCTCGACGGCTTTTTCATACTGGCCCTTCGCAGCCTTGGCCTGGTCGATTGGGCACGTGGCGCTCTCGGCGCCACCAGATTTGTACAAGGACAGATTCTTCTTATGGCTCCGCAAGTGGCAGCCGGCATTCCGGCACGTGACCAAGTCTCCCTGCACCCAAGGGTCGTGCTGGCCACCATGCTGTCCAAGAACGGCCGCCGGCGGACGTAAAAGGGTACAGGCTGCAGCAAAGACGGCAGAAGCTCGATCCGTAAAGTGCTGTTGGAGGATGGCGTGCTCGACGGCCTTCTCATACTGGCCCTCCCCCAGCGCGGCCGGCGCTTTCCGCATGTGGCTCTCCGCCTGCTGCAACATCTCCTGACTGCCGAATCTGAAGTAGTATCGGTTGAACTCTACACGACGCGTATCCACAAAGCCGCGAAGAGGGCCAAAACACGCGAACAACAGACCAGAATCAATTGCTCCGGAGCCAAAATAGGTGCTTAGGCTAAGCGCCTACGTCCGTGGAAGAGCAAATGCGCCCTAATCCCCAACTTCGAACAACCCGAGTTTTGGGGAAGCCCCGAACGAGAAAGTTCAGATGTGGACACCTCTGCCTCTTGAAGCACATCGTCGTCCCACCGACAATGCACGGCCGCCGGAACCGAAGCCATGTTCTATACCGAGTCGGTTTACAGCTGAATCATGACATCGGGTTCGGGGCCGGAGGACACAAGCCATGTCACAAAGAGGAGTCCGCTGAAGAGTCCGGTGATTGTAGCAGTATGCTTGACCGTCTTATGATGCTTGACCGTCTTGTGTAATACCGAATACCTCACAAGAGCCCTCACAAGAGCCCACAAGAGCCACACGGGACATGAGCGCACGTCGCACGCAACTGCCCTGACTCTGGCTTCTGGACCCGCATGCTGCACGAACCGAACGTTTTCTATTTCTAGTATACGGCACGACGGCTATTTCTAGTATACGGCACGACGGGTGTCTATACCAAATGTCAGCAACGCACCCACGGCTGCGCGGAGCCGTCCCCGAAAGCCCAAACCCAGAACCATGGAGACCTGCGGCAGGCCCACAGCCGGCCCAGCGCAGCGGTGTCGTCCTGTGGCGACTCCAAGTTTGGAGCAGAAAGAAGGCTTAGGATGGCATTCGTTGCGTGATGACGCCCTTAGGCAGATATTTTGGGCGGAGCATCCCCGAGTCTCCCCGTGGTACCAGAGACACATGTACATAGGTGAGTGATCTAATCACTCGCATGATGCGTGCTTGGAGAACCGTCCTTGGCCTTATATGCTGGGTAAGTAAACAACACAGGACTGGGCTCCGACATAGAGGCTATCATGCACCTGGGCTCCAAGCAAGCACCCTTCCCGAAAGGGTTTCCCCAAGAGTGTACAGCGTGTGACGCTGCTGACCTAAGAACGGAAGTCAGCATGAAAACTCGGACCTCCAGACCTTGACTGGCCGTCACCGTGTAAGCGGCAAAGGCTCCTCCACCGAGCATGGACCCAGGCCATCTTCTTCAGAATCTGAGCCTTCCGGATGCTCGAGCGTGACCATTCCCAGCAGGGGAGCGTTACATTGCAAGCGCAATATTGCGCCGGCCAAAGCTCCGTCAATGGAGTTGCGCGCGAAGTGTAACATATGCCGCCCACGCGACCAGGTTCGCTCGACCCTGGCCACCGTCGCCGGGGTAGCCAGACGCTGCCGAGCCAAGTGCGCGACGTGAGGGAAAGTCCGGGAGCCACAAGCCTCCCACCACGGGAGCGGATCCTCAGACAAAG